CACTCCATTCCAATTCTGTATTTTATTATTCACTTCTCTTCTCCTTCTCCTTCCTCGTCTACTCTATTCTACTCTACTCTATTCTACATTGACCCCAGGACCATTCCTACATTTTGGTGAGGCGGGGGGGAACATGATGGCACCTTGAATATTCAACATTTATCAAGCACAAACTCACAAGAGAACAAAACTCCTCCAGCTCCTGCAGAGCATTCCAGTTTATAAGAAAAATATATATTTTTTTTTAAACTGAGCTGCGATCAAGCTGCGTTCTTGGCAACAGGCTCCTCTTCTCCAATGCTTGTGTATTTTTTTAATAAGCCAGCCACTCTAGCCAGGCAATCTTCTGACCCTACTTAACTCCGGTCAGCTGAAGTCATCTGAGTACATCTGCTATAACTTTCAAGCTCAACTCCTACTGACCTTGAAGACACAGTCGCACAGCTTCACCCCAGAAAGCGATTCATCATTATTTATTTTTCAGCATCTTCCCCCACCACTCCCCACCCCCCAAGATCTCAATCTTGGGCTCGACTTGACACCCAAGTCCAACTTGAGTTGGCCAAGTCCCAATAGCTGTTGAATCCACTGCTACCCATTGCCGATCCTGTAAAGCAGGGTTTTTTTTTCAATCTTGGGGATTTGAAGATGGGGCGACTTCAACTCCCAGAATTCCCCGAGCCGGCTTGAGAAACGCTGCTCTAGAGGACTAGCAATGGGTCTAGTTTTATATCTATCTATCTATCGTTTTGCATGTATTGACAGCAGCAAGGATTGTATTTGCACAATATTGGAAAAACGAAAACACTCCATCAGATGAGGACGTAATTTGGAAAATATTGGACTGTGCAGAGATGGATAGATTGACATTAAAAATAAAGGACAAAGAAGATACAGAATACTACTTAACAGGGAATAGATTTTACAAGTGGTTAGAGATAAGAGGTAGATATTAGATGAAGAAGGATTATTGCTAGGTATGAACTAAATATAAAGATAGTTTATAGTAATAAATATGCCAATACAACGAACAGAACTACAAATAAGCTAATAGAGAGAGAAACCTAGTTAAAACTATGCTGTTACACTATTACTAGTGTACACTATTAATATATACGTTTATATTCCTTTTTTGTTCTGTCTTTGCTTTTCTGTAAATGATAGGCCCTGACAATTCAAAGTAAGTGTGTGTGTGTGTGTGTGTGTGTGTGTGTGTGTACACAAAAAAATAAAATGAAAAAGGACTGGCGATGGGTATCGGTGAGGCGATTCTGGGAGTTGGAAATCCAGCCATCTTAAAGTCCCCAAGGTTGAAAAACACGGCCGCAAGGGAATACAAATTGGATCAAAACAACCTGTAAACTGTGCCAATTGCTTGTTGTGTAACTCTGGACAGTTGCGTAAACTGTCCCGATGCTTTCTCCGGCTGACTTCCTGTCCCAGAGGTACAGAAGACACGTGGAAGGGTGAGGTGGATTGTTCTCATAGTTGGGAACCTAAGCAAAATAAAAGACCTGGTGAACGTTATCAACGGGCAAGGAAGCCCCACCAGAGAATCACAAGAGATGTAAACTGGACTGTCGAACAAAATCCCCAAACAGCTTGTCCTGGCAAATAATTTTCTACACTTTTGTCACGAAAACGACATGCACGTTCTAAATGTAATAGGAATAAGGATGATACAGAGTGCCTTGTAAGATAAATCGGCTGCTAAGATCAGTTTCTTGATAAATCAGCTGTTTTCCACAAACACATTCACAAACTGCTGGAAGTAAAATAGCGTCCCAGTTTCCCTGATTTTTGTAAGAATTCCGACACATGTCCCATTTAATAAAACCATGACTCACTGCAGGCCTCCAAGATATTTTACCTGGAAGCATTCCTCTTCCTTCTAGATCTCATCCCACCCAATGGGCACTTGAGAAGATGCCAGTTGATCTCAGAGACGAATAAAAAGAAGCAAAATAGAAGGTATTTTTTGGTCGTTTCCCACCGTTTGCTAAGACGTAAGGTGGTTTGCTCAGGTGTGGTGAGATGTCACGAGTTAATCAACCAGCTAAGATTAAAAAGCATGATGTAACCTAGTGTGTGAACAGGTCAAGGGGTAAGATTAACCTCTACAGAAGGGGAAGTGGGGTAGATTTGTAAACCAGAGGAGACTGACACAATACCTGAAGGTCTGAGGTCTCCGTGGTGCAAATCACATTTATTCACCAACACCTCTACTCACAACCCCCAAGCCAGGTGTAAGGCTGAACAGGCCTCTCAGGGGCACAAGCATGGGAAGAACAAGAAAGAAGACCTGGAGAAGGAAGGGTTGGTTGATTGAAGAGTTGCAAAACTTAAAACAGACCAAGAAA